ATATGTTTAATTCAAAATGCGACAGTGATGACATTATTTGCATTTTGAATTGCAATTGGTCTTTTTCAATTAATCTATTTGCATACTGAATTACAATTGGTCTTGTCTTTCTTGCTTCTATCTGACCATTTTTAGCCAGCTTTACACTTTGATACTTATGGTCAGCTTAAATGGGTCATCGGATGCGACATGCACTTTTACAAGCTGTTTGAACTGAAATGTGTGTTGGCAGTGTGTGTACACAACCACCCTATAATGATAAAGATCCACCCAGTGTTTTTTTTTAATCTCGTTAAATAATTTCCCCTTTCTCAAATCAAGCCGATCTCAGATGCTTGTCTGCGTCTGTTCGCGCGAATCATTCATGATCCAGCTTCACCTCCAGGAGTGTAAGGTTTTTTAATGAAACTTTGCAAATCGCCTTTCCTAATAATGTGCTAGTTAGCGAGTTTTGCGATGAATGCAGCTAAAGTTTACGGTCTCTCGGAGAGGGGCGGGGTCAGCAGAGCTCATTAGCATTTAAAGCTGAATGCAATAAAACTGCATGCTGTAGACAGCTGTTTTTGACGGTAAAAAGGGTGTTGTTTTATACTACCATTGAGAAATTTTAACCAAACTATGTTACAGACTTTTCATTAAGACTCAAAAGAATCATATCAACTTGTGGAAAATGGGCATCCGATGACCCCTTTAAATTTCAAGTTTTCCACACTTTTATTTTGCTGCCTTGCAAGCACTGGTATTTTCTCCAGAACATGCAAATCTATTATGTATTGGGATGTGGGACAGTGTTTTTTTTTCCCAGTATAATTGCTTTAAATCTCATATTCCCGTGAAGGAAAACATGAATGTTGTAGTCTTACAAATGATAAATCGTATTTGATACAAGTATATATCAGTAGTCTGACCAAATAGTGTTATGAAACAGTAAAAACATTCTTATCCTTCACCGATTCAACACTTTCTTATAATTCCTGGTAGTTTTCTTGCCTGTACCTCCCTGCATTTGTACATGTTCAGATATACTGTAAGAAGTTTAGTAACGGTCATTTTCTTCTTAGAAAGGAAAATTTTTTGAGCAATTTTTAAGCTAAAGAACTTAAAATTGATTAATGATATCAGGTTGCTGAACAGACTGTTTACTGTAGTTCATAAAGGGGTGATGTTTGCATACGCTGAAATATGCACTATTTTTATATTGAGCTTCATCTATATTGATCTGTATTTTATGGCGATATAATGAACACATGGTAATTATTAATACAAAACCAATAAACCATAGGACTCTTCTGAACTCTCTAATGTTCTACACTCTTAAAAATAAAGGTGCTTCACGATGCCATAGAAGAACCTTTTTGTCTAAATGGTTCCATAAAGAACCTTTAACATATGAAGAACCTTTTTGTTTCACAAAAGGTTCTTTGTGGCGAAATAAGGTTCTTCAGATTACAAAAACGCAAGAAAGAGATGGTTCTTTAAAGAGCCTTTGACTGAATGGTTCTTTGTGGAACCAAAAACGGTTCTTCTATGGCATCACTTGAAGAACCTTTTGAAGCACCTTTATTTTTAAGAGTGTAGTACAAGAAGATTATTACTTAGAAAATGATTTCAATAACTTAGATCTAAAGCACAATTAATGTTTCTTTTGCGAGTACTTATAGATGTTCTTTTTGTATTTTATAAATCAATAAACATTTCTTTTGTGCGAAAATGTGTGGATTTGTTTAATTGCAGAATTCAATAACATTACACAAAAAAAAAAAAAGAGCGATCATGTTTTATAAATTTAATTTTCCGAATTATTCTTCTATGGTAATCAACTGAACACCCCAGATAATCAAGTGTCATTTGAGTGCAATAACTATCAGTACAGATTGCCATGTGTATTGAGAATGTATGTTATTCCTGTGATTAAAGCAGAAAGAAAAGTACGACCACATTGTTTATATTAAAACTTTACTTCCTTTTACTACACAGCTATATACCTATTTAACTCACTACTTTTGTTTACAAAAATAAGCAAATGTTATACAGGGTTTCCAAACAACACGGCTACATATGCTTTTCATTTTATGGTCAAACAGTACATCAATATAAAACATGCAAATCTGGAGGCAGCGCTTTAAAATAAAAAAAGTGCCCAGACCTGTATAAATAGCAAACCAACTGGTAAGATGGCAGGTCAAATATACGCTGTATATTCATATATTTATATATGTAACGTGTAAAAGAACACGGATATGCATTCACAGCACACCCAGAGATACACACTGTTTGCTAGGGTGAAGATACACACAAAAAACAATGACCACTTCAAATCACAAAATAAAAAAATCTACAAAATACTTAGTGAATTTAAATGTGGTTTTCAGACATTCAGACACTGTCTTATGAACATTTCAGTTATGTACTTGCAAAATGAATCCATTTTCGGCGCAAGTCGTAGCATGAGACCCAAAATTTCAACTTTTAACAGCTGATGATCAAATTCATAAGATGACCGGCCAAAAACTGACTGCTGGAAACATTTTAGAAACTCCTGCCACATGCAAAGCTCGCATCTAGATGCTGATCTCTGTTAATCATACCATCATGTCCCGTTAATTAAGGTTCCTCCCTCAGATTACATTCGACTCACACTAGGGAGTGAGCAGCACCGGTGTCCAGGAGAGCATTATGGGATGCATTCATGATCAGAGGAGGTTTAATCAAGCTTTGATCACACAGTGGAGTTCACTACAAGAAGAAACAACAGTTTCATTGCATTTATGAAGGAATGAGAAACATTTGTAGTGGTGTTTTCTAGCCGTTTATGTGGTGTGTTGCACTACTGTCTATATTCAGCCATTAAAGACATCAAAAAAAAAAAAAACTACGGTCAGACCCAGCTGTCGTCCACATTCTCTGGCCGGTCCAGCAGGGTTCAGTCTTAGCGTTCAGGTCAACTCTGGCCTCGAATGAATAATGAAAGTTTGGTGTGACGCTGACCCTTCAGTTCTGTGTAGATCTGTTGTGCTCTTGAAGTCGAAGCAACCGTATGCCCAGAGAATAAAAGTCATATCACGACAGCAAAGCCTCCATCCATATTTGTGCATCTCTCACTTTTTTTGGATTTGCCAAAATGTGCGAAAAGTTACGACAAAGGTCTTTTGTTGGTGTGACAGGAAGAACCCCAAATCACCATGTAGCAGCACCAGAATCCCAATATAAGGTTAACTAAAGAATGAGAGAAAGACAAAGAGAAAGTTAGTTTCACCACATTTTAACCCAAGAGGAAAGAAAAATCCTTCGGTCATTTAAAAAAAAAAAAAAAAAGCACCACAGCGTGCCATCATGCTCAAGAGAAGCAGATTAACACACCTGCAAACACACAACAGGTCTCAAACTTTTATTGCAAAAGGGAACAAAACAGACCTAAAAATAAAAATACTGTTTTGATGCACATTCTCTCATTTAGTTTTTTCCTTTTACAGTACAGCTGAAATGTCTTCTTGATAAACAGTTTGTAAACACGGTAATCAAACGGACTCATTTGTTCAGAAGGCTGTTGGTGGAGTCTTCTCGCCTCATCTTTGGAGTGTCCAGTCGTGGAGGACTAGGGCGAGAGGGTCAAATGTCAAATAAGAAACACAAGCAGGCCAAACACCAATTCTTTGAACAAACCTCTTCTTCATTAGTAAATGAGAAATGTTTGGAGAAACGATTCAGTTTTGCATTGGAGGGCAGAGGGTGTTTATGAGAATTGGTACAGAAACTTCTGTTGGATTATGGCAAATTCTCCATATCCCATCTTGGCCAAATCTTTCACACAAATAGTTAACACACTCACATGCTTAAATTAGCTTCAACAGCAAACGAATCCCACTGCACACAAAAAATAGGCACTCCATGACTCTGTTCCAAAACCAAGTGAGCAGCCTAGAGTTTAGTGATAGCACAAAAACACACAAATACTGGATAAAATAGCATTTTCAATTGGATTTAACTGGTTTTGATACATTTTGATGATAAATTACATTTACATTTATAATTAACACCACTTTAATATAATTTTTTGGTAACCCTTTATTTTAAAGGGATAGTTCACCCAAAAAGAAAATTCTGTCATTAATTACTCACCCTCATGTTGTTCCAAACCCGTAAGACTTCCGTTCATCTTCGGAACACAAATTAAGATATTTTTAATGGAATCTGAGACCTCTCTGAACCCCCCATAGACAGCAAGGATCCTTACACACGATCAAGGTCCAGAAACATAGCAAGGAGATCGGTAAAATAATCCATGTGCGCAAAAGAAAAAAAAATGGACTATTCAACAATTCGTCTCCTCCGCGTTGATCGTGTAAGGACACTTGCTGTCTATGGGAGGGTCAGAGAGCTCTCAGATTCCATCAAAAATATCTTAATTTAATTTACATTTAGCATTCGATAACATTTATGATATCAAATTACTGGAATTACTGACTGTTAAGATTCCCCTCTTGTGTATTACATTACAGCAAATAATCGAAATGCTGCCAAAGTAGGTGGGTTAGGAGGTTTTGGAACAGAGCCCCTTTGAAAGTAGTTACCCTGTTTGAACCCTACACATGCTCCTCAGAAATTAAACGTATGGTCATAATCTACATCATCCACGTCATCCAGAGCCCAGTGCCAGTCCTGAAGCTCAGAATCCAAAGGCCTGCAGGTGGAGGAGAGAGCATTCAGCCAAGCCTTCACCAACCTCACTACAGACTGTCTCGGTAAGGTCTGGAGGTAGTTTCGCTAAGGTGAAGCTACAACTTGGCACATAATTACTATAACGGAGCTAAACCTTAAAAATAAGACTGGCCACTGCTCAATGTCTGCTGAAGCTTTAAAGGCTGTACATCTGTATGCATCTTGAGTTTGGTGAAGATACAGACCTCTATGTGAAAAGTTTGAGGCATACTTTTAGTATTTAGCCTTTAAATTCACTGTTACTAATCACAATTAAAAACCTGAGTTGGATACAAAAGAGAAAAAGTGCTTTGTTAATGCCCAAGCTGTCATCTTGCATCCCAAGTTACAAAAAGCAGCCCAGTGTAACACCGTTTAAGCTTTATATCCGCTTAGCCACCATTAGCAAAGACCGCAAATGTTATTCTGCTAGTCAAGCACTGCGATTTAAACCTTGAAAGCTCTTGAATGATGTTACTGAAGCATGCTAAAGCTAAATATCAATACATCCTCCATCCAACTTCCAGGTCGGCCATGTTCTCCTCTCACCCCGTGCTGAACTGGGGGTTGAACGGGTCTGGAGCACAGGGTCTGAGACTTTCCTCTTTCTTGTCCATGTGCTCTTTGTGGCATTTGATCTGGCATATCTGGCATTCCAGAGCCAGAGGAGGTTTGAACATGTTCCACAGGGGTTTGGTACAGGCCTCACAGTTGGCAGGAAAGTGGTAGAATAAAGGAATAAACTCGTGTCCCTTGTGGTAGATGAAGCCAGATTTCTCCGCACACGCTGTTGGTTCCTTTAGGTTGTGCACAGACCTGTGTATCATATAGAGTAGCACTCTAGTGTGTAACTGGTGCCAAACACGTGTCTAGCGCTTCTGCATTGATTTTATGAACAGCTATCTTAGAATCAAACTTTACAGAACAAGATGGTAAAGGGACAGTTCACACAAAAATGAAAAACAGTAAATTGTCATCATTCACTCACTATAATGTTGTTCAAAACTCGTATGACTATTTATTCCATGTAACATAAAAGATATTTTACAATGTCCAAGATGCATTTTTTTTCTATAAAATTAAAGACAGTGACCAAGAACCGGCAAATAATTTTTTTGAAGTTGTAAATTGAGCAAAAAAAACTAAAGTAACGTTTTCCAGAAAATACTTTTTACTTTATAAAAATCAATGTGTAGAAAATTTGAGATTTCTTGTGAAATTTGTCAAATTGACTACATTTTCTGAAAATTGTTTCAAATTAAATCCTACACAGATTTTTTTCAGTGTACTAAAAATGTCATCTTGACAGCACAATGATAATAACAATACTATGGAAGCCCATTTCTGCCACTGAATAAAAAAATAAAAAGGTAATTGTGACTTTTTTCCCTCACAATTGCGTGCAGTTCTGACTTTATAACATGCAATTGCGAGTCAGAATTGTGAGATATAAACCCACAATTCTGAGAACATAGTCTATTTTTCCCCTCAGAACTGGACTTTATAACTCGTAATTAGAGCCCGACCGATATGGGTTTTTTGGGGCCGATACTGATATTAGGGAGTAAAAAAAGGCTGATACCGATATATCGGCCTAACATAACAACATAAAAAAAATGATTTTTGAAAATTAAAAAAATTGAGTTATCTTTTTTTGCAAATAAACTCACACATATACACACACACACACTACATCACTGGGTCCCATCATACAGGCACATGGCTTCTCCTACCATTGCTATGCTGATGACACACAGCTCTATCTCTCATTTCAACCAGATGATCCAACGGTAGGTGCACGGATCTCAGACTGCCTGGCGGACGTCTCGACATGGATAAAAGAACATCACCTACAGCTCAACCTAGGCATGGGCCGATTACCGGTTTCAAGGTATACCACGATTTGAAAACTTAAAAGGTCCCCTGAAGTGCCTTGAAACACACAGCATTATTCTATGTGGTGACGTAATTTCAACTGAAACAGGAAGACAGGGCGGGACATAGAGCAGCCCCGCCCCCTTTTTAAATTAGCGGATCAGACTGTGCGCGCTGCCACTGTTCGCGTGACACAACGTGAAACCAGACCTCATTTACCCCAATCAAAAGCATACACTGTCTGAATCATTGCCTCTCGCCTACATTGTGCACTACGTGGCATTCACTGTACAGGAAACACTGTGAACAATAGGGCTGGGTATCGATTCAGATGTCCCGATTCGATTTCGATTAGACCTCCTTACTGAAGGGAAAGTGTTGACTGGTGTGACTATCTCGCGAACGCGCCGGCGGATCTTCACCAAATTCAGGGAATCCCTTCAGTTCGAGGAGCCCTCTCGAACGCCACCCTCCGCGCATCGGTAGCCCCCCGGGATCGCTAGATCGGTCGGCGCCGGACCGCGAATTTAACCACCCGTAACTCCCGAACCCCAGGGGCTATCCACGCGGGGGGGGGCTCATTCGAAAGAGGGCCTCGAGACGTACACTCGATTAGCATTCGAGAGGGTTCCTCGAGCTGAAGGGATCCCCCGAATTTGGTGCGGATTTGCTGCGCAGTTACGGAGATATGGCCGTTCAAAGTTCCAATGGTTTTCCATTGACTTAAGCTTTAAAGCGTTTCATCCAGGTCGCCAGTAGCAAACACTGGAGCGTGCACTGCTGGACAAACTAAGTAATTACACCATTTCAAGCATTTTATCTGCATTATATGTTCTGTTCTGTAAAAAAAATGTTCATATCGGTGGCATATTCGCCGATACCGATCATCGGCAAAACGATATATCAGTCGGGCTCTACTCATAATTGCGAGCTTATATCTCACAATTCTGAGAAAAGTCGTCAAAATTGAAAGAAAAAAAAATCAGAACTGCGAGATGTAAATGCAATTGCGAGGAAAAAAAGTCAATTACCTTTTTATTTAGTGTCGGAAATGGGCTTCCATACAATACACAATTTAAGATGTGGCGGAAATTACACTATGGTACTATGGTGCTCGGTTTTCAGGAAAAAAAGAGAGAGAGAAAAAAAAACAGATTCATGTGTACAGCAATGGACATGTAATTGCAAAACCACTTCAAAAGAGCTTTTTTCTGTTTTGAAACATACAACATATTTTCTTTTTTATTTGTATTGTATGTAAAACAGAGGTTTGGGCATTCTGCTAAACTTATTGTGAGTCATACAGGAATGACTTGAGAATGAGTAAATGATGACAGTTTTAATTTTTGAACAAACTGGTCTGAAAGGATCTGTGAACAAAAACCAGGCCTTTATGTAATCCTCTTACTCTCGAGACTGACTCTGATGAACAACAACCTGGGCAATGTATTTGAACTAACACAACGTAAACTCATGAAAACACAAGATAAAACAGCCATATGATTAACTGAATTTTGCATTAAAAAGGCATGTCAAGGCTTCTTGCTCACCTGGGTTTGCCGGAGGGTATTTGTCGGCTGGGTCTCCTCATGGATTGACTGCTTTGTACTTTAACAGGAACTCTGGGAGAGGAGCGGTGAGGGGCTTCTGGTGCTGGAGGTTTTTTAGGGATCTTCTTCATGAGCCGACTAACCCATTTCTGCTGGTCCTCCTGAGACAATGCTAACAGCAGCAGATTTTTAGCCGTAGACACATCGTAGTTCACTAGAGATAGACACAGAAAAGAAGAGTGGATGAGGAGAACAACAAGTGAATGGGACATGAAAATAGAAATATACAGTGGGGAAAAAAGTATTTAGTCAGCCACCAATTGTGCAAGTTCTCCCACTTAAAAAGATGAGAGAGGCCTGTAATTTTCATCATAGGTATACCTCAACTATGAGAGACAAAATGAGAAAAAAAATCCA